CAGAAGAGCCTCTCTCTACCCTCCCCTCCTGCGGGGTACTTCGCCTTCAATTTTTAATGCGAGAAGAGTTCAGCACTCTCTTCCCTCTGTGTACACACGAACTAGCGCTATCCACTTGGCCAGGAGCGGAAGCGAGAGAAAAACTCACTTTGCAAGAAAAGCTCGCCTACGCCGGGATTCGAACCCCTGACCTGACCTCTAGAAGGGTACGAGGCTACCAACTAGACCACCGGGGCGACCGGTATGCATAATACATGAAAGAGGTAGTCGTCAAGAGCATCGATTTCTCGTGACGACGACGTTCGTTCACTCTGCTGTGTACGAGTAGTGGAGGTAGGTTGCGGGTTGGAGACAAGACGCTAGAAGACAACATATATATATGTAGTGACTTGTGACTTTCGTGGCTTGAGAAGCGGAGACGCCACCCGCACTCACTCATTCCCGTGATAGACTGTATTCGTTAACCAGCAGCAGCTTTCTTTACAATGCGCGCCACGACCATCAACCTTTTTTTTTTTCTGAATGAGACACAACGAATCAATTTCTATCTATCTGTAGAAACGAGCCTAGCAATCAATTCATAGCATCCGCGGAAAACTAGACTTATACTTGTTTTTCTTGTCTTCTTTTTCGCTCGCGGGCTGCTTCCCCGGGTAATAATAAGACCTCGGCAGCGGATACATTAAAAAAAGTATTCTTAATACGAGGTCAGCACAGCAATAATATATCGATGTACAATCCTACCAAGTTCTCGTGCGAGGGCGGGAGTGTTGTGCGCAACATGCAAACACAGCGTGTTGTTAAGGAGTGTGGCTGCTAGCTTAAATAGGGTACATCTTATTGTTGATAGGATGTGGGTCGGTCCCAGGAGGTATACCCTTCAGACACCTACCCTCTTAGGATTTGTCTAGTCCGCGTACCCCCTGAGGTGAAGTTGGATCCCCACTTCACCTCAGACCCTTGCTGATCGTCTCTCAGCAATAACAAGCAACTTTTCTCATCTCAACGTGATCGTGGACAAGCGTGTCAACGACAGAACCTACCTTCATCTATCTCTAGGAGCAAGCTACCACCCACGGCTCCCCCTCCTTTAAAGTGTACCCTCTTAGCATCGTTCCTGGGTAAAGACGAACACCAATCACTCAGCAACAACAGCAAGCATGCCTACTTTATTTAACGGACAATTCGGAGGGCAGGTACCAGTGGGCCCAACAAGGACACGAACAAATCTTCACCTACCTCTAAAGGGCACACTCGCAGTCTTGACGGTGCGGTCGAGGACCCAACGTGGACGCAAATACACAGCTCAATCTGGGCCACAATATAAGAAACGTCTCGTAAGAAATCAGTAGCACCGCTATACCCTTGTTGTTGTTGTTGTTGTTGCTGTTGTCTTCACATTAAAAACCGTTCCGATCTCTCTCTACCCAGTACCTCCATATAAATGTCCGTACTGATCCAACACTTGACGCGGTTGACTCCCGTGGTCACAGGCTAACTTACCCTAAAAAGGTACACTCAAATAAAGACCAATAACCAGAAACAGGTATACCCGGGTACTTTATCACCACTTTAGGGTACAGTTCGAAATCAACACACCCCCAGGCTGTCAGCTGATTGGGCGAAACACCGTCGTACCCATTTCTGAAGAAATCTCCATCGGGTACAACTAACTACCGCTGGCATAAGGACCCTGATGTGACCGATATTGTTAACTGATGTACCCGGAAGAGGTCGATTTTTTACCCAGAAATGGTCATATAATCCCGGCGCCCGACGCTCACGCATAAAACCCGCAGAAAAAAACGTGTACCGCACATACCGTGTACCGCACATACATACCCACAACAAACCCACCAACAACGCTCGCTCGTTGATGGGCACCGCCTCCATAGGATACCGGCCCCTCTCGACAGAGGGGCGGACTCGCTTGACGCGCGAGTTCGTTCGGTGTGGTGCTGATCAGTAAAAGCACAGAGAGAGAGAGAGGCACAGAGAGACAGAAAAACGGGCACGACCTGCCTCGTGCATCATACTTCCGAGGCACAGGACACAGACAGCAGTACATTGGTTTCGCCCCGATCTACTGCGGATGCTGTCGGAGATTGGTGTCGTGTTGATTTCCAAGTGTACCCTGAAATGGTGATAATCCACCCGGGTAACCCGTTTCTGGCAATCATAAACATGATCGATCGTAGTTGTCTCCATGGTTAACCATGGAGACTCCATGGTTAACCATGGAGACTCCATGGAGACTCCATGGAGTCTCCATGGTAATCTCCATGGAGTTCTCCATGAAGTCTCCATGGTAATCTCCATGGAGTCTCCATGGTGATCCCCATGGACACTCCGTGGTTAACCATGTTAACCATGTAGTCTCCATTTAGACTCCATGGACACTCCATGGACACTCCGTGGATAACCACGTAGTCTCCATTGGAGACTACGTGGTTATCCACGGAGTGTCCATGAAGACTACGTGGTTAATGACCACGTAGTCTTTAACGACGTAGTCTCCACGGAGACTACATGGATGGTTAACAATGGAGGGTCTCCGTTGTCAACGACGGTCACCCCGGTGAGTCCCATGTATATGTGTATATTCCATGTAAGTTGTTCATTCACCTGTTCATATACATGTATGACGAAACCGTAATCGTCGGATATCTATGGCCAACTTAGGTAGTGCACATGCCGCCTACAGTCCCAACAGACAGCCAAAAGTTCGCTCCAGTTTCTTCACTACGTCAATCAGTATTAACAGTATTTATGTCTTGAAAGCGAATGTTCACCCCCGAATGCTGCGAATGATTGTTGAAGCCTCGCGCGTCGTGCATGTAGTTGCCATCTTTGGTGACCTCGTCATGAAAGAATACATACATACGTAGTACTGTGTGTGCAGCAGGTGTTATCCATGGAAAACCGTCTTTACCCATGTTGATTGTTCATGGATGGCGTTGGTGATCGCCATGGAGTCTCCATGGCGATCACCATGGTTAACCATGCCATGGTGATTGCTCCATGGATATGAATGGAAGCCATCGTGTTCTCCACGGAGATTCTCCGGGTCGTCTGGGTCCATGCTGTCGTCCTCGTCCAAAAGAGCTAGCTCGTCGGTCTGGGATTGAGACATGTCTGCGACAAAGGGTACCGTGAAACACGAGAAGGAACGTACGGGTGTCATCGCCGTTACTCAACTGAAGCACACCATGTGTTCGTAGACGTGACGCGGAAACAGAATATCAGCAATATCCCAAACAGCACAAGGAAAAATGAACAAAAAGGACAATCAACAACGGGAAAGATGAATAAGCTGTAGTCTATGTAGTGCCAATCAAACTCACCGTCGTCGTCTTCATCGCTGTATCCAGCGTCCTCCACGCCCTCCCCGTTGTTGGCACCGTTGCGCTCATCTCCGACGACCGGCTCGCGCCCTCCGGCGCCCTCCTCCTCCCGCCCCTCGGGCCCATCGCTGACGTCCTCCGAACCTCCTTCGTTCTCGCTGGAGTCTTCATCGTTTGCGAAGGTGTACGGCTGGTCCAAACCCTCCAAGGTGATTCGATCATCGCCTGAGCCGTCCACGGTCATCGCCATCCCGCACTTTTCGAAAAGGTGGTGTCGGTACCCCTGATTGCTGTTGAGTTTTGCCATGGCCGCTCCCGTCCATTGAGTGATCAGTACGCGCCGGTCAGAAGCTGTCAGCGACGCGGTTTCCCACCTCTCGATGTTGTCCGACTGATCGAGCCACTTGTCCATCTCTTTACCGCCTTCACATGTGCCTTGATCGTCTCGAAGTGACGGTCAAGAATCAGTCCTCGTTGTTTCATCTCCGAGAGTTTGCCAAGATCCTTCAACAACCCGTGGGATAAGGGGTTGGACAGGGACATGATCCCCCTGCACGGCAGGTAACTCGTGGCACGCTGCACACGCTGCTTCGAGTAAATTGAAACATCAACAAAAAAACCCTCCGCGCTGGCACAGGGGCACGATGTATACAGCATATGTACCCCCTGATTATAACCCTTAAAAAAATCTAGAAAGGGAAGTCTAGGTAGGTACCGACTACCCAAAAACCTGGGAACGCCCCCCCCCCCACCTCCTCCTCCTGCTGTGTATGTTCTTCTCTCGCCACCGCGTCACGTCATATATGTTCTTATCTGTAGAACCAGTCGTACACCTCACTGGGGGTTCTTATTCTTAACAGCAGGTCCGATCTGAGCACGTGTTCTTAGGGGCAAGTTCTTAAAAATTGGATTTTTTGAGGCTCAAATTCTTAACGTCCATATTCTTAAGTGCGGGCCGGTTCTGTACAAGACCCGTTTCTGGTTACTTATCTCAAAAAAACTGGCCCCGAGGGCTCCGCAAGTCAAAAGAAATCAACGACAGATATTTTGGAGTCCTACCACATTAGAAACGAGGGATTACACGGGGGGGGGGGTTCGAATAAGAAATAAGAAACACCCCACACAGCTCCTAGCTCTCCCCCTCTCCCATGTGCGAACCACCCCCCCCTTGCGGTAGTTAGTGCATATTTGTTGTGCGGCGAGCGGTGTTTTTTTTTTTGCGGCGCCCCCTCCCCCACTCTGCCGGCTCTGTGGCGCTGCCTGGCGCATGTCGTCAGCCACGATATGCTGTCTGCTGTACGGGGTTGATAGCTCTCTCCGCCACCTCCCGCTAGGGCTTTCAGAGTTTAAGAAATGCATTTTAAGAAATTCAGCAAGATTCTGCTGCACGACAAAATAAGAAACTTGACATAAGAAATTGGACAACGTACCTTGAGTGTTCAAGCCACAAAAAGAGTTGAGGCTGGACCGGAAATTGGCGTTTCTTAACGCGGGCGCTAGCTGTACATGTCGAAAAGGTCACTCGCAAAATCTAGGAGGTTTGATGTTGAATGAACTCCAACAAGTCGACATTTTGTAGTGGCTAGGAGATACAGAGAACGTAACCTCGGGCGTGGTTTGATGTTGAATGAACTCAAACAAGCCGACAATTAGTAGTTAGTGGCTAGGAGATACAGAGAACGTAACCTCGGGCTCACGGCCGAACACCTCGCCGCCATCACATTCTACCGCAAGAGGCGCCGAAGCGGCGGCAACAGCGACAACACCGCTGCCCAGTTTGGAACTCTCACCGAAGTTGGACATTGGCGTGGCCTCCCTGACAGGTGCAACCACACAAGCCCTCCCTCTCAAACCGCCGTGAGCCTCCTGAGAACGTTCGACGGTCGAGCCCGCCACGATTGGAGGCAGGCTCGCGACGATTGGAGGCAGACTCGCGACGATTGAAGGCAGGCTCGCAGAATTACCACCAGCAATACACCTTTCCATTTCTTCGTCACTACACGACGACGGGGAAACATCAGCTTGGGCAACACTACCTCCTTCATCTACCCTCTGGCCTGCTAGAGACGAGGGCGGCCTGGAATCGACCCTCCTGCGAGAATCGGCCGAAACAATCGTTTTGCTGCCCCTCCCCGTCTCCTTGCCCCCCTCTGTGCCGGACGCCACTTTGCCCGTGCTCTCGACGACACCATCCCCTTGGGACGGCTGCACTTGATCCATATCGCCCGCAGCGGCAGCAGCGTTCTTGTGCCCAGATGCTGCCGGTACGCCGGCGGTGAAAGATCGCCTCCGGGAGGCGCCGAAGGCGACGGCGGGAGCAATCACGCCCACCGCGCCGCCTGCGCGAGAGCGCCTGCCGCCGTTGTCGTCGGTAGGAGGAGGAGGACGAGGAGGAAGGTCACCGGCACCACCAGCGCCGGCGGCGGGGGCAGCAACGTGATCCGAATATTCGGATACGGTGCCGCCGTCGACTCCGCTCCGGGACGGGGGCCAGGGGCGCAGCAGCAGGACCGTGTTCGCCGACCGCGGATCAGCGGTGCTGCTGCTTGCCGCCGAGGTCGCGGGGCGGGCCTGGGCGTTGCTGCTGCTGCTGCTGCTCCACATCCGGCGGGCGGTGGCCCCTCCCCCGGGGGCCGACGTCGGAGAACCTGTCGAGGCTAACTTCGCAGCCGCTGCCACCGCTGCCTGCACAACGGAGAGACAATTGATCGGGATGTAAGGTGCGGCCACCTGGTGTCTTGGGGCGCGGGTGGTGGGGTGGGTGGGTGGTGCCCCGGCCATGAAATGGCAAGAAAACTGCTGCGCCATACCTCCTAACCCTGACCCTGACCCTGACCCTAGCCAAAAGAGCGTCAGGCCGAAAGCACCATGACCATGACCTCGTTCGGACCCTTCGCCGGTAGAGCTTATCTTGGCATTTGGGGCAGCGAAGGATATTATGGAAATGTGGATATTCGGGCATTGACTCCACAATTTCCAAAAAATAAAGGGGACGCATCCATGGATGGTGAAACCACCAAGACAATGGAAGCCTCGGGGAGTTCGTGGGGGACGGGGTTGAGGAACGTGGCTCAAACACACGGCACCTCGGAAGAAGCCAACACGGACGTGCGACATTATTCACAAACGAAGGCGAGGGAAAATCAAAAGGACGGGGACCACAACGAAAACACAGACCCCTCTCGAGCGACCGCTTTTGCGAGGCGGACCGCGGGCTTATTGTGTATCATCCCGTTGCGTTCGGAGGGTATGGGACCGCACCTCCGCTGCCTTGAGCCTCTCCACGAGCCTAGCGTTCGACGAAATCAGCGCTTCGTGGGCGCCGAGCAGCATCGACCGCATTTCTGCAGTGAACTCCTGCCGAGGAAGTTCGATAAGCGACAGCTTCAAAGAGCGACAAATTCAAAGAGCAGCACACCAAAAAATTAACAAAAATAGAATCTCACAACAGAGAGAAAGCGAGCGAGCAAAAGAGAGGACGGATACTGCTGCGTGTTTGACAGGCCCTTTTCGGAAGGGTAGCGTGCGGAATCACGTTACAGCAGTTAACTTGTTTGATTAAGCAAGTGAAATCGACAGATACTGGAAGAAGGCCTTTGAGCCCCCGAGGCATTGGAGTCACAACCCAAGAGGGACACTCGTCGACAAACGCTTCTCGGATCTTCACCGGCAAAGCAAAAATCTTGCGAGTCGGACTGTCCTGAAATCCATGTCCTCAGGGGAGGCATGCGGAGAATAAATACGGCAACTCTTCTTCCTCTCTCAACACACTGACGACGCGCGCTGCAACACGGAGACGGCCACTCCTGAAGCATCAACACAATGCTAGCCTTTCTGAGGGCAATCCCAGGGTGGGAAAACTGAGACGAGTATAAACGTGGTTAAACGTGGTGTTTTTTTTTGTATTTTTGTCGCTGGACGCACCGACATTGCAAAACGGTCAGTGAAAATTCAAAACCAAAGCGGTCAAGTGCCGGAAATACCGTGGCACGTTGACAGCACTTTCGAAAAATTCTGAACACATGCACACGCCCATCTCTGCTTCATCACCCCAATCACATGATTTTTCGACCAAAACAAAAAAAAAATCAAAAAAGCCTCAAAAAGCCGGGAACGCCGATGTACCTTGGAGCTCTCGTGTAGCCTCAGGTCGAACTCCCTCTCCCTCGCGGCCCACCTCGCATCGAACTCCCTCTCTCTCGCGCACCACCTTGCCTCGAACTCCCTCTCCCTCGCCCACCACCGCTCCGCCATGTCACCGTGTGCGGGGAACCACATTCCCCCCGGGTCTGCCGCCGCCGCCGGTGCCACCTCACCCTCTGCAAGCGCCCGGCCCCCAGCCGCCGTTATCGCCGATTCCTCCTCCTCTCCGCGACGCACACGGGCGAACGCCGGGCGCCACGTCGAGGGTGCAACGAGGACGGCCGCCACCGGGGAAGCCGACCGGGCGGCGGGGGTGACGTCGTCGCCACACTTCGTGTCCGTAGGCCCTTTCGGGCCGCCGCAGCCGTTTCCGCCGCCCCCCCGGCTCTCGCCCGCCCTCCCGGCACAGTCTCCATCTCCGCACCCGGCGGTCCTGCCGTTACCCCCGGGGCAACAAGGCAGGCCACGTGCCGTGCGGGCTGGTGTCGTCGTCGTCGTCGGGGCGAGTGGCGACCTCGGAGCGGCGTCCTCGACCGCGCCATCGCCGTCGCCAACACCGATCGCCAAGCTGCGGCGGCCGCCATCGACGGCGACGCCGTCGGCGGCGGCGGCGCCCGGGCCGGCACCCGCAGAGAGGAGGCCAAGCCTTTGGGAGCTCCGGCGAAACGCCTCCACGGCGCGCGCGGCTGCCGACCCGCTCGCCGCCGTCGCGTTCGTCCTGCTGCTTGTGGTGGTGGTCGTGGTCGTGGCCTTGGAATCGCGGGCGGAGGAAGAGGAGGGGGAAGTGGGCCGCGGCGGCGGCGGCGGGGCCAACGGCGTGCCGCCGAGTTCGAGCGACTCTCTGGTCGTACCTAGCTCACGCCAGAGGGCGGCTAGGTCGTCATCGCCGTCGCCACCGCCGCCACCACCACCACCGCCGCTGCTGCTTGGCTGCTCTGCCGTTGTTGCTGCTGCTGCTGTCCACAGAGCGGCGAGTCCGGCGACGTGCGGCGACTCCTGGCGACGAGGATGACGATGACGGTCATCATCAGCGCAAGCCCTCCCGCCCAAACGACCCCCGCCAGGATGAGGCACCGGAGGTGTGCCGCCCAGATCCTCTACAACAACGGCTTCCTCGCCCACGTCGCCGTCGCCGCACACGTTTTCGACAACGTCGGGCCCATCTTCGAGATGAAGAGAGGCCAAATCGCCCCCGGCTAAGCTGCTGGTGCTGCTTTTGCTGGTGCTGCGGCCCTTGCCGGCGTCTTGGGCGCCGGGGTGGTCGCGCTTTCTCCTCGCCCAGTTAACGACGATCCCAGCCGGGTGTTCGGCAAGGGAACGCCCCGTCTCCCTTCGGCAGTCAGCGCGGCCCCCGCCGCCCGCCGCTGTTTCGACGACGTGCAGTTCGCGGGAGTCCCCCCACCGCCGCCCCCTTCCAGGAGCGCCACAAGCGCTCTCTCCGGGCTCGGCCGCACCGCTACTGCCACCCACCGAACGTCCCCACCCGTTGTCTCCACGTTTCGAGGAATCATCGTCACAGCTCGGTGTTTGAGTGGGTATGACAGGGCTTCCCACGGCGGGTACGGCGACTCGCCCCTCTGGGCGAAGCCCGGCAGACGAAAATTGCGCCGCCGTAGCCGTTGCAGGGAGGCCAAGCCCCCAGCTTCCCGCCTCCGCGACGTTGTACTTTCGGTCGCGTCGGGACGGCCGCGCCACCCCCGCCTCCGGCGGAAAGCCCTGGTTGTTGTTGCTGTTGCCAGATCTTCGTCCGCTCATTGTTGTTGTTGTTGTTGTTGTTGTTGTTGTTGTTGTTCTGAGACGGCCCCCTTCGTCTCGTCGCGCTGCCCTCACCAAGCCTTTGGGCTCCCCCGTTCTCGGGCGAGGACTTCGGGCGGATGTGGCGGGCCATGCGGGAAACCGAGCGGACCCTCGCTGCTGCTGCCAATGCTGGTGCTGGTGCTGGTACTGCTGCCCACGCCGCGGCCGGTGAGGCAGCCGCTCGTCTTCCCTCACCCCCCGACCGTCAAGGGTGACCAGCTGCGGCAACACCGCGACGACATCGGCCCGGGGCCTGCCGCTGCCACTGCCGCCGCTTCTCCCCCCGCCGTGCCTTCGCGAGGCCGTCGCCATGACCGGGTTAAGTCGAATGTCGAGATCCCGGAGGTCTCCAAGGCAGGACAGTCGCCCGACCTCGTCGATGCTTTCCACGCGGTTCTCGCGCAGAACCAAGGTTCCAAGCGACACAAGGTGCTCGATGCCCTGGCCAAGGGCGAGAAGGAGGCGGGGGTGGCTCAGGGTGTTGCTGGTTGGGGGAGTTGTCATCGGCTAAGGTAGTACGGCCAAGTTCGTGGCTTTCCTTATTGTCGGGGAGGGGAGGGCTTACTCCGATATTCCGTTCGAGCACACATGAACCGCAGTAGGGCAGACTTGAAGCTATGAGAGAGGGCAGGCGATGACGGCTCCGGGGTCTGTTCTTCGTGGGGGGGGGGGGTAGAGATGTATGCAATGGGTCTGTAGAGACCTTCCTCGTTGTGAGCGGACGGGAAAAAAGAGCATTTAGCGCTTTCTTGAGCACAAATCAGTCTGGAAGCTAATGGTGACCATTTCATCTTATAGGAATACTTCTGGGGCCGTCCACAATGACTGTAGAAACAAACGCTGAACGCGACTTTGCAATCAGAAGATGCACAGACTCGAAGCTGAAGGTTTCGCAATTCATTAAGGAATAATAAAAGCACACACAGAAAGACTACCCATTCGAGATATACCCACAGTCGAACGGGATGTGGTGGAGTTTTTTCAGTGAGTGAAGGGAAACCATTCATGCTACAATCACCCACACCGCACAAGCGACTGCTTGTTGTGACCTTAAGCGTTTCCCGAAACATGCCAAAACACACGTCTTGATCGGATGTTCAAGCTATCGTTGAGGCGGCTTCTTTCCTGTTTTACGCGGCCAAATCGGGGCCGGCGGCTTCGCTGTGGCGCGCGCGGACGCTCTTAAATCGCCGGGGTCGTCGCAGGCGCGACTGTAGCTGCGCCTCCCCCCGCGCGCCGGGGAAGCCGGCGCAGCCGCGGGGGCGGTGGCATGCGGCTTGTCCCGCGCCAGACAGGGGGGCGCTTCGCAAAGTGGTTTACGCGTCGATGTGTGTCTGTGTCCGCCACCCTTGGTCGGCCAACACTCACCAGCAACGACGAGAGGTTGTTCCGTGCGAGGTTGAGATACACCAGTCTCCGCAAGCCGCCGAGAGAGCCGCGGAGGGAACGAATGCCCTCCCCCTCGAGGCTGAGGCTCTCCACCTCGGCTAGGCTCCAGCCTGACCCCCGCACCACCTGCCAAATCAGCACCAGCAAGTTATTGTGTGCAGCGAAAACTTGCTCACGCATGGCAGCTTGTGCCTAAAACCCGCACGCTCCCAACACCAACACGCGTGAGCGAGAAGAAACGGCGGTCCCTCAGGATGTCTTCCATTTTTCAGCGTGTCGCAACGCTTCAAACCGATACCATGCACAGGTTCGCGTGCTATCAAAACTACTGTAGCATTTCATCATCCGCCCGGAATATATTTAGCTTCACAAGGTTCCTCTCGTAAACGACGCGTTTACACTCTAGAAGAATCGCACGCGGGGCGCCGCGGGAGCTCGAGCTTCGGCGTGCTTGCCGCAGTTGTTGTCGCAGCCCATGCTGTAGAGCCGTCCCGCCCGCGAGCATAGTATTGCTCGACCTCGACTGCTAGTGTAGACTATACTTCAAGTTTCTCGGGGGGTTCTACATCGTACCGATCAGGGGGAACACGTTACATCTCGAAAAACCTGCGCATGTCCAGTGCGTTGCACCGCGTTTGATGCAGAACCAAAGTACTGCACAAAGCAGCGTGCTCCCGCAATAAGGTGCTACTACCGTAGATGTATACCTCTTCCAGGAATGCCCGGGTGAGGTCGCCGGACATGTTCTTGTTTTGGGCGCTTCCTGCCAACCTCGAGTCGAGAAGGGCCACAAGGATCAGCAGATTTTTCAGCTACTGTACCTGCAACAAGATGAAGGGGGCGGGAGAAAGCGAAGGGTCTGGTGGAAGTCAGGCTCCCCGGCAGGGGGGTACTCTTATGTTCTGCATGCCTTAGCGGTTAGACCATTGACCACGAGTTCTCGAGAGGACGAAGCATTGTTCCCACAGGACGGATCACCGATGGCCAATCGTTCCTTTCTACTTTGCCAAGGGTGGCTCAAAAATGTCGTCCCTAGTCTATATATCCTATCGATATCACTTCCCGCCATTTCAACCAACTTCCCATGCCGTAGTACAGCTACCGTCGTCTCCTGGCTATTTCATGCCTCAAACATTTCCCTGCATCTTCCTTCTACATTTCCCAGCTCAGTCATGTACACTTCTCTCTCCTTGTACAACGGACATTCCGCAACTACATGAACCCGGTCCTTGCACTCGGAGCCGCAATCACATTTAAGCTTGTCGTCTTCATCGTCTACCTTCCCAAATCTTCGTCTACATTCTCGAAGGCCAATGTCCCCGGTCCTGAATTTTACCATACAGCTTCGTCCCTGCATCCTTTGGTCCATGTAGGTACTCCTTGAACCCCATTCCTTCTTTCAACATTCCGTACACATCTAGACCTCCCTTATCCTTGGTTTCTTTGGTAGATTTTGTTCTTTCTTGGCAAGAACAACAGATATCTCTCCTTGAGCCCCTCTAGACCTTCCATTTCCAGCGTATTACCTTCGTCAATTTCGACCTCCTTCCATACGTCGTCTACAACCATAACCCACTCCGTGGGTTGTCTACCCTTCTTCTTGTTTGCCCACTTCGCCTTCCAAGTTATTTCTCGGCAACCTCTCCTATGTCGTACTTACATGCAATTTTGGGATCTGTTTGCTCTCTCTATATCTAGGGCAATTGACAAAATGGGGTATACCCCGCGTGCTTGGGCACAAAATGGGGTATACGAAGTACGTGTTTTCGGTGTGGGGCGCAACGCCTGACGTCGGGTAGGCGCCTTCAAACTTTAAACCGCCTTCTAGCGCTTCAACCCCATGCGCCAGGTCCTTAGAAAGGACACCCGACTTTTTTTTTTCTTTTCACCCACAGGAACAGGTTAACTAGGGCCTGGAAGAGGGGAACTTGTCGGAGGACCCCGCTTTGTTCACGAAGCCGCGGTGAACACCCCCCTGTCTGCTAAATGTTTATCTAGTACCCCATTTTGTTCTCAAACGTACCCCATAATGTTCAAGGCATACCCCTTTTTGTTCAGTGGTGACGCTCCTCCTGCGGACTGCCAAAATGGCAACCATCAACCAACCGCAGCACGGCAAGAAGACAGAAGATGTTGGGGTTGTTGTTGTTTCTCTCACATTAGCTCTATAGTCCACAAAAATGGGGAGCCCGTGGTCGCAAAACCCGGCACATACGACGCCGCGGGCAAACAAAACAAGAATAGAGTACAAACCACTCGGAAAAGAAACCAAAATTATAGAAAGAAAAGAACAGCTACCGCACCGACCGGTCGAGAAAAAGAGCCCTACGAAACCGATCAAAACAAAATAAAATAAAGGCAAAAATAAAAAGGGAAGAAGGAGCGCTTCCCACACCCGCCTAAAAAAATCAAAGGGTACCGTACCAGCATCAAGCACTACGCACCAGGGCATGGGAGTAATAGAGGCAACAGAACAAAGAGGCGGCAGATGGGCAGACAGCCATCTATATAAAAGAAAAAGCAACGGCAAAATGGAGATCAAGGGACCCAACAAGGCAGAGTAGGCAGGCAGGACATGGAAAAAGAAGCACAGCACTGAGACCGAAGGCAACACAAAGGCCATACAGGAGTATAGCATACAGCAGGGAGGGGAACAGGGCGCAACAACATCAGCCGGGTACATAGTTCGCCACAAGTGCTGCCTCGGCCGCCCTACTCGCTTCTACAGCAGCAGCGCCCGGTCGCCGATTCTTCCCCCCCACCGCCGCTTCCTCGACTCTCTTTTTCTTCGGTCCCGAGATGGCCGTACTCCCTGCTTCTGCTTCCCTCGCGTGCTGGCGCTTCGCGGACGCTTCCGCCTCCTGTCTGTGCCATTTCCTCATGAACCATGCCGCCCCGTCCTCGACCTTGTTGTACCACGCCTCCGGGTCCTTGGCGCTCTCTTTCCATTTCCCCCCTTCCTGTTCGTCTCCCATGTTGAACGCCACGAGGTCCTCTCCTAGACGAGATACCCAGTCGCTTTCCTGCCCGCCCCGGTATCGCATGCCTCCCGCCATCGCTCCTACCAGCATCCGCCTGGGGAGGCGATTGTCCTCCATGCGCATAACGAAGCCCGTGAAACACAGTCTCCGTTTGCGCACGGTGGCCTCGATGGTTTTCTCGTAGCCCGCCTGGATGAGGCACAGGCATTGGACAGGGGGCGGTCTGAGCGTTTCCGCTTGCTCCAGCCGATGCACCGTGTCAGGAACTGGCGGTGGGTCCCATAGAGCTTCGTGTAGTGCTCCGCTGTTAGGCTCCACGAGGCGCACCCGTACAGGAGAGTCTCCACCACTTCAGCCTGGAGTAGCCGGATCTTGAGCTGGCGGTCGGCCCGTCGCCTGTCGTACATCGACGCACTGTTCCGGCGATAGCACTTCGACGCTCGGCAGCTGCGGCTCGTGAGCTCCCGGTCGGCCTTCCCATCATCCGCGCAAATGGTGCGTCCGAGGTACACAAACCGATCTGTCTGCTTGTACGTCTGGCCGGCGGCGCTGACCGTGAACGGGCGTTGCTCCATCCCTTTCGGCAGCATGCACATGATCTCCGTCTTTGGCTCCGATACCATCAGTCCGAACAGGCCGGCCACGCGCACGATGACCGACATAATCTTCTCGAGACTCTCCGGCGAGCGCGAGACGATGGCTGCGTCGTCAGCGTAGAGTATGGCCCACAAGGCCTCCACGTCCGTCACCACCGTCGTCTTCTCCCTCGCCGACCTGCCCTTCTTGCCCGTATAGTCCACTTGTGTCCCGATCTTGACCATGTCTGCCGTTACCTTGGGGTTCTTGTCGAATTCGGCCACGGCGACCACGAGCATCGCGGCAAAGAACAAGTTGAACAGCAGCGGGGCCAGGTTGCATCCCTGTCGGAGGCCTTGGCCCACGTCGAACCATTCCGAGTGCTGCCCGGCGTCCGTTCGGACGCGCGCTCTCATGCCCTCGTGGAAGTGACGAATGACCGCCAGCATCTTCGGGGTATGGTGGTCTGCGGTGCAACATACAGGCTTTGTTGTGGTCTGCGGCGAGGCAAGGAGACAGAAGATACCAGTGGTGTTGACGACTTGGTCGAAAGCGGTGGTCTCCATGTCGGGATACCATTTCTTGGAACATTCCTTGGGTAGGTGTAGCCCTGCACAGCAACCTAGCTTTTCACCGTACAGCAACCTGGCGTTCACGGTGCACAGCAACCTAGCCCTTACCCCCTCCTGCGCCGCGGCTTAGCCTAAACGGGACAGCTGCAACCTAGAACGCAAACGGTGCGGCAACATACCCTTTTCACCGTGCAGCAACCTAGCGTTGCCGCGGCTTGCCGCGGCCTAGGCTTGCTTGGTACAGTGACCTAACACTTTCCAATGCCATAGGTTTGGGTTGGGTCGGTTGGGTTGATGGGGTTAGGGTTAGCGCCGGGTTCGAACCAGCAGACACTAGTTCGAAAGGAAGCGGTTTATCCATCGGGGTATATTTTGCCGCCGTTTCCCCCACGCACCCATCCGTGTATTCTCGGGCTACATACTGTAGCTCTGGTGGTGTAGCCAGGAAGTTTCCTATGGAAAATTCCCTTCAACCATTGTTTTCGACCAAGTCGTCAGCACCCTTCGAAGATACAGTGATATGGTGGTCTGCGGTTGGTTGTTGGTTGCCATTTTGGCAGTCCGCAGGGGCGCCATCACTGAACAAAAAGGGGTATGCCTTGAACATTATGGGGTACGTTTGTGAACAAAATGGGGGTACCAGATAAACACTTAGCAGACAGGGGGGTGTTCACCGCGGCTTCGTGAACAAAATGGGGTCCTCCGACAAGTTATCCTCTTCCAGGCCCTAGTCAACCCTGTTCGAGAGGGTGAAAAAAAAAAAAAACTTGGGTGTCCTTTTTAAGCACCGGGATTGGAGCGCTAGAAGGCGGTTCAAAGGCGCCTACCCGGCGTCAGGCGTTGCGCCCCACACCGAAAAAAAATATACCCCATGTTGTGCCCAAACACGCGGTATACCCCATTTTATCAATTGCCCCTCTATCTACCAGGATGTAGTCGAGAACCGAGTAGCCTTGCAACGGCTCTTGCCTGGTGAACTCCTTGCGGACTGCCCTTTACATGGTGAAGTCCGGCATATAGCAATCCCTTCAGCCGTTCAAAGCCATTAGCTCGTTACTTCCCAAGAACTCAAGCATTTTCACTCCGTGGCCATTTACCATGTCTTTTCCGTACTGACCTATCGCCTGTGTCACCTACTGGAAGCTTTCCCTACTCCGGAGTAAAAATCGCTCACCTGTCAACTTCTCCCTTCCTTCTGCACCTTTGAACATCTTCCCCGATTTGTCCAAATTTCTCCTTCGCCTTGCTTGCGACTTTCTTCGACGACGGGGGTGCGTATACGTTCGCTAGAAACAAATCTTTCTTACCCCGCGCCCTAGGTATCTGAAGCCATATGCTTTCCTCGAAGTCCGTATTTCCCACTACAGAACCGGCCCGCACTTAAGAATATGGACGTTAAGAATTTGAGCCTCAAAAAATCCAATTTTTAAGAACTTGCCCCTAAGAACACGTGCTCAGATCGGACCTGCTGTTAAGAATAAGAACCCCCAGTGAGGTGTACGACTGGTTCTACAGATAAGAACATATATGACGTGACGCGGTGGCGAGAGAAGAACATACACAGCAGGAGGAGGAGGTGGGGGGGGGGGCGTTCCCAGGTTTTTGGGTAGTCGGTACCTACCTAGACTTCCCTTTCTAGATTTTTTTAAGGGTTATAATCAGGGGGTACATATGCTGTATACATCGTGCCCCTGTGCCAGCGCGGAGGGTTTTTTTGTTGATGTTTCAATTTACTCGAAGCAGCGTGTGCAGCGTGCCACGAGTTACCTGCCGTGCAGGGGGATCATGTCCCTGTCCAACCCCTTATCCCACGGGTTGTTGAAGGATCTTGGCAAACTCTCGGAGATGAAACAACGAGGACTGATTCTTGACCGTCACTTCGAGACGATCAAGGCACATGTGAAGGCGGTAAAGAGATGGACAAGTGGCTCGATCAGTCGGACAACATCGAGAGGTGGGAAACCGCGTCGCTGACAGCTTCTGACCGGCGCGTACTGATCACTCAATGGACGGGAGCGGCCATGGCAAAACTCAACAGCAATCAGGGGTACCGACACCACCTTTTCGAAAAGTGCGGGATGGCGATGACCGTGGACGGCTCAGGCGATGATCGAATCACCTTGGAGGGTTTGGACCAGCCGTACACCTTCGCAAACGATGAAGACTCCAGCGAGAACGAAGGAGGTTCGGAGGACGTCAGCGATGGGCCCGAGGGGCGGGAGGAGGAGGGCGCCGGAGGGCGCGAGCCGGTCGTCGGAGATGAGCGCAACGGTGCCAACAACGGGGAGGGCGTGGAGGACGCTGGATACAGCGATGAAGACGACGACGGTGAGTTTGATTGGCACTACATAGACTACAGCTTATTCATCTTTCCCGTTGTTGATTGTCCTTTTTGTTCATTTTTCCTTGTGCTGTTTGGGATATTGCTGATATTCTGTTTCCGCGTCACGTCTACGAACACATGGTGTGCTTCAGTTGAGTAACGGCGATGACACCCGTACGTTCCTTCTCGTGTTTCACGGTACCCTTTGTCGCAGACATGTCTCAATCCCAGACCGACGAGCTAGCTCTTTTGGACGAGGACGACAGCATGGACCCAGACGACCCGGAGGACGAGACGCAGGGAATGGAGATCCCGGCGGGCTTTCGCCTCCAAGAATCTACCCCCGCTGCTCTTGACAGATTGCTTTTGCAACGTGGAGTGCTTGTTAGGCTGGGCATGGGGTGGTTCGGTGGGTTGATCATTCAGCAATCTCCGCAGCGCCACCTGTACGACTACTGTGTGCAGCTGGAGGTAGACCACAGTACGCGCAAGATGAAGCTGCCCTTGGACAAGTACAGCGGAGATCCGGACGCGGCGATAGGCTCGTGGGTTTTGCTTGAGAGCGTCAGTAGGGCGGGAAGGGTACGCACCCCCAACGTCACTCTTGTGGACCAAGACGGTTGACAGTTACCCCATATGAGGGGGGTGTTTGCGGCATGAAACTCTGGGTCGAGTGCAGTTGAGAGTAGTGCACCAATTGAGCATTCGATGATGACAAAAGAACAAGAACACACCTTTTCTGGAGAACTGGACGAGGAAATAAGAACTTAGCAAATAAGAACTTGTGCTCTGCTTGGGGCAGCCAACAAGAAGCGAGCCTCGCTCCAAATAAGAGGTTCTTAAGTGCGGGCCGGTTCTGTAGTTCCACCACGTCAAACAAGTGTTCCTTGATCCGGAAACCCACTTCCCCCTCCCCCCCTGTTCTTCGGATCTATGCCCTTTCTTGCCTTCCCTGCCCACCGGTACTTTCCGAGCTTGCTTATGATGTCTCCATCCTTCAATTCCCAAGTCTCCTGGATCCCCACTACATCTTGATCGCTTTGTTCTACTTGGTCCACAATTTCCAACCGTTTGCGCTCACTCCTTGCGAATCAACACACGTGCCCCTGTTCCCACTCGCAGCTTGTGCGTTTCCCTATTGGATATTTTGTGCACTATATTTCTTCGACTTCCGCTTCTTTCTCGGCGTTCTTCTGAATGGCCTGCCCGCCTCCCCCCCCCAGTCCCTTCTTTGCCGTCATCGACCTCGCCTCTTGTCTCCTTACCTTCTCTATTTCTATCATGTTCACGATGCAAACCCTCCACTCAACTTCCTTACGTAGTTCGACAGTTTCTTGATGTCAACACCCATGCACTCTTTGCTGTCTCCCCTGGTAAATTCCACCTGGAAATGTTCATGCTCTCTGCCTACTTCTCCCCTTGCTGGGCAACGTAGTCCCTCCCTGTCACAGCAGTTCTTGAACTCTGTCCTCATCATGCCCCTTGGGATCCCCAACAGTAGCAGTTCCAACCTTTCTCACACAGCTTCTGTATCCAACCGTTCGGTTTCTTTGCCATCCTCATGATCTCTACGCCAACTAGGCCGTGGCCACTTGTTCTTCGTGTGTTTTAAGAAAGGTATACGTTTACACGGCCTTCCCAATAGTGTCCGGTGGGGGTACGGTTCCTTTCAATTATTTTGCCGGCTCACCGGCGCTAAATCGCGCCTCCAACATGGGCTCGTAGTCTAGATCCAAGTCCACAGCTCCTGGCACAAGAACCCCAGTCTTGTGCCGGGCAGTCTTGTGCCGGGCGCTCTGGATACTAAACACCCAGACGTCCCCCGACCACCCAATTAATCATCTCGCGCGCGGGGGGGGCTCTAGCCATATTTCTTGTGTGCCCGTTAACCGTCTTGAGAATTCACCGAGATGTTTACTTGGCATCCGCGGGATGCGTACCAGAAGCAAGTGGTTTCAACACACGCTCGCAACGCCGTGAAAGCGCTATACTTCTGCCAACCAGCAAGGCACCCCATCTTCGCACGGTAGCTGTTAAAACCCGTTTCTCGCCTTTTCCTTTTCTTATTTGCTGCATACACGAATGGAAGCGAGCGCACGCGGGGCTGCGCATGCGTACGTCTTCCCCTACGCTGCTGGGTGTGCTCGGCAGTTCCCCCAACAGCCCGTGTACGGGCAGCACCAAATCGGCTTTGCTGTACCAGGATCCGGCCACTTGCTATCCCAAAACCGACAAGAGTTTTGTCAGGATACCGTGATACCGAGTTGGTGACGTCTGAGGTGTGTTGGGTGTGGTTGTCCATACCGGTGCCCGTCCTCTCCAAAAACTACCGTAAGAGCTTTGACACGTGTATGAAAAGAATCGCAAGGCATTCGCAGCACAGCGTCAGTTGATGCTGTTTTTGTTGGTGTGTTTTGGTGGTGATGGTGGTGTGTGTGCACATGTATCATGACATCGACAACCTCTCCGGTCTCCTCAGTAGTTACCTGCTAAATTTACTTGGTCTGTAGCATCCGTATCCTGGTCAAACTGGGCGGACGCCTTCCGTGGTCAGAGGCGAGGTCTAATTCGTAGGATGAAATTCCATACACCGACGCCCTGCAAACTACAATATAATGGTATATGGTACTCGAACGAAAGAGGTGCGGATACTGCGCCCCTCTCATTCTACAGGTTCTTGTGATCGGTATGTATCTCTGCCGACACTGGTCCTGTGTAACGAGGCGGCAATCAGGTATCGGGCCCTTTGGGCGCGACGGAGGTGAAGATACGATACTGCACCTCCAAGAACAAGGCCCCGAGTTCTTGCGATGAAAAACGGATGCGCCACAACGCTGAGAAAATGTACTATTCGTCCTACATATTATGCGGAAGCTCCCTATCCCCTCGACACTCTACACAAGAGTTGTACTGCACAGTTGTAACAGAACCCAGCATTATTGTTGCACGTCCAAACGCGAGTACATAGGCACGCATGCGTATGTAGCACTGCGAAGCAACACATAGAGCCAGCAGAATTGTTTGTACGTTTTCTTGGAGGAATTGTAAGCCCGTACTACTGGAGCGTAGTGGATTGCTGCGTCGCCTCTAGTCGCAATGCTCTCTCTCTCTTGTCTCTCTCTCTCGGCCTACATTTTACCTCAACGGGCTACCTAACACCCACCTGTTCGGTAGTTGAAATTCTAGAGCACATTTCCTGGCCCTCATCCAATACTGGGCCCAACCGTTCACGAACGAAATCTGGCTTCTGCACCTCCGCAGCTAGGTAGCTAGGTACGTACGCACTGCTGTGTTACGCTCCGGGGGTGCTGATCTATGGTAGATGACAGCACGGACCATAGTCTGATCGCTGATCTGTGTGCAGCGCAGCGACCGTGCGGTGGATCAATGTTAATGGTTGGGGAACCCCCCCCCCCCCCCCCCCCCCCCCCGCGACCGTCGTAACCATTATTGCCTACTGTGTCGGCTAATTAAGGCCATACCCGA